ACTACTAGCACTACTACTAATATCACTACTACTCTTAGTAGCATCACTATCACCTTGACTATTACTATTGCTTTTACTCACTAGTACTACTACTACTACTACTACTACTACTACTACTACTACTGTCACTCTTACTGATACTTATACTATTACTATTGCCTGTGCACATGCCATTGCTATTGCTGTTGTTGCTGTTATCGCTATCGCTAGTACTAGTACTCTCTTTTTGTTGTTACTATCGAATACTATCACTGATCCTTCTACTCTTTCTATTACCATCATTGCCACTTCACCTTTGCTGATACTCTTATTCTTACTATTACTATTACTGGTACAAAACTAATATTAATACTGGTACCAATACAAATATTAATTCTAAGAGTCCAGAGTCTAGTACGATGACCATCACTCATACTAATACTATGACTGTCTCTGTCAGCGTTACTGTTACAGCTACTGTTACTATTACCATTACTATAGCTTTTACTGTTACTATTGACTATAACCATTATGCTTCATGAGGCGGGAAGGGGGATGGGTGCGGTCGGTGCAGGGGGGTCTTGGAAAGAGACGAGGGGAAGACAGAGGGAGCAGGGGGCAGGCACACTAACCCCGAAACATGTCTCAACAAGGTGCCGAATTGCTCCCTCAGCGCCGAGCAGAAACAGCAATAGCTTGCCTCACTCACTGCAAAGTAGACTGATCGATTTGAAGCTGCTCGACCACAGCAAGCCCGCGACACAAATGATTGTACGGAAAAGGAAGCGGGGTGCTGATGATCTGGTTGACTTCGGAATACCTGCACTAGGATGCGAAGCTGCATCGGAGCAACAACTCATGATGCAACGCTACACAAGACCGGCGGAGCACGAATAGGAGAGCGACATGGTCTGGGCAGTCACAAGCGGCACAAAGCGCTCACCCATGCCCCACCTGCTACAACGTCAAGGTGTCGCCCTCCAGTGCAACAGCTACTGAGTCTGCACCTCTTGTCTTGCATGCGAGGGTCGTTCATGTTCCTGTAGCCAACCTGGAAAAGCCAGCCAGACACGCACGGGCACTTGTGGAACCTAGAGTTCTTGCAGGCATGGCGATGGAGGCAGTTAAGCGAGCGTGTCCCTGATGTCGCTTCGGAAACAGTTCGCACAAAATAGATGGAGGCCGAAAGACCGAAACACCGGGAGGTACCTCAAAATGCAAAACCTCCGTGCGTGCCTTTGTAACGAGAAGCTGTTCGAATATATCCAGACCCCGATGGCAACACCGGCTGTTTTGCGGATCGTTTGATGTTTGCGGGTACTTCCCAGAACATGAATGGATGGAGGCCGAAAACACTCAGACGTCCTGAAAAACGAAAGCCTGTCCGGGACGCTGGAGAATTCCTGAAAGGACCTGCTGTCGCATGAGCTGTCCATGTTTCAGCTTGCAGTCATTGCAAAACCTTGGATGCGAGAACCCGGACGAAAAAACAATCGTTCCCATTTCCTCTCTGAAGAAGCCTGGTGGATAAGCTTTGCGAACGACCTCTCGGCGTTTTCGGACAGTGTGTTCGGGACGTCCCATCATTTTGCAATGACAGTCCCTGACAAAATTTTGCTCTTAAGTGGATGGGCCCGGAAACAGGCCGTTAACGATCGTCGTCAAAACCTGCACTCCAGCGAGAGGTTGCATTGCTTCTCTTCCATGTGATTGCTGACGGTATTCACCCCGTCTCTTTCGCATTCGCTGCAGTCGTTACTTTGACTCAAGAACCTGAAGCAAGGTTGTCTGGACAAAATGGATGGCGAACGGCGAACGCCTACCATTTACAGAGAGCCAAGCCTCGTTCAACTTGTACACGAGGTACGTGCACAAGCGAATGTATGGGACCTCGCAGATGTTCGCAGACTATCTGCATAGTGTCTGGGCAAGAAACATTTCCTTTCCTTAAGGCGACGGCACGACTAATCTCAATGTCCCCCGGTGACTCCTCACAAAGACCAGAACTTCTAGTCATACCCCAGCGCGACTTGCAATTGCCCTTACGTTGCTGCCTACATCTGCTTACCTACAGATCGCAGGGCTTCCTGCCTTTCCACACAAGAGTTGGCCTGCACGCACTGCATCGTCAGGGCTACGTTCTGATTCGTGTCGCATTGGGGTGGTCTCAAGTTTTCTGAGAAACCTCGCGACTCCCGAGCCACGCTAGACGACACTAGACTCTAGACTCTCGACCAGCTGAAAGCTTGTGATAATATGGACGCTTGCCAGATACGTAGGTTGCTTTGTCTTTCTTGAGCAGCCGTGCCGTACACACGCCTGCATCTCTGTCTGGTTGCAGAGTGGTTGGCTGGCTGCTCAGCTGCTCAGCATTCAGAAGTCTGCGGTTTCCTACATAAACGTGTTCGTGGCTGCTGAGGAACAACCCTCTTCTCGCCGGTCGATTGGGCTTGTACTCGTAAGGCCCGTGCCCAAGAGAACGGGTTGGTAAGCGAAAGTGCGAGCACGTTGGCATGTGACTTTCCCCCGCACTCAAGGCTGCAAAGCGCTGAGAATCTTGTCCCACCACATGCCAATAGGGCAGTCTGTGCACTAAGACTTCATGTCAGTCACCCCAAGCCATTGAAGCCCCGAGGCCAGCAAACTACATTGTCAGCGTATCCTCAGGGTGGACGCTGCCTAAGACTCGTGCGGGGGACCATCTCCGGCAAACAGTGAAGTACAATGAAATTTCAACAGCCTCCACAGGCCGAACGCCACCAGGAAACCCAACAGAACATGTCCAGCTGTTCGCGCTCACGTGGCAGGCTACCGTATGAACATCTGCGATCTTCAAAGAGACATTTCTCGAGACAGTACCAAACAAGGAAATCCCTGGCCCTAAATCCTGAATGAGCACATTCCGCAGCACAAGCACCAAAAGCCAAGCCTGTGGTTTTGGTTGTCTTGGGACTGTCTCGTGGGCTGATTCGATTCACAGACCCCCCACCAAGACACTCAGACGCACCTACCAGCCCTACCAGACCTTTTCACGGTCAAGGTATGCTTCGATTCAAACCAATTTTAATGCACCTGGCCTAGTTTGGGTTCCGGGACGGGTAGCATGCGGGGGTACAAGCAGAGCCACCTAAAGCAAGCAGACCCAAGAAACACGAGCTTAAAGAAATGTATGCCTGTCTCGAAACTGTCCTGCAGTGCGCTCGCTTCCGGTCCGAAGACTTCCTGGTCAAGCCATCAACCCCGCAAAAAATCTTGGGCTCCAAGGTGCAAGTGCTCCTCGACCCCTGGAAGGTCGGGATACTGAGGTGTCGCCCAGCTGATTTGCGGGGCGGCGACCGCCCGCACCTCGAATGCGTCGGGCTCTGCCACGGGTAATCAGCAGCAAAAGCCAAGTGCTTCATGAAACCACCGTGCACAAGACGTTCCGAGGCAAGCAGCAATCCCATCCAAGCTGCGAAACTCATTCTCGTTCGTCAGACCCCTGGCACAGGCCAAACCACAGCAGTATTAACTATTGCTTATGTCTGGTTTTCAACGGAAGGCCTGATCCGATACCTGTCCCAGTCCACCCTGCGCTTTGTCTCCTCTGTAATTCTTCCTTTATTGAGGCCTCCGGATCCAGCATTGCTTATGGCGAAGACACCAGTCATAACCATGCCCTGTCCCAACACCTGCCTTGATCAAGCAAGCGTGCATGCCTTCCATTCAGGGACCCACAGCAAATTCCAGGTCCCAAATTTTGCTGGCGAGAGGCATCTGGAACGCGATGGCCATGATGAGGCACCAGCGGACAGCCTCCGTTCTTTCCTGCACGGCACAAGGCAGTCGCTGGCAAGCTATTCTGCATACAATCTGCATGCCTCACTTGCAATCTTGTCATCGACATCCATCTCAACATCTTCCTTCCCAGCCGAATTCCAGATAACTTCATGCAAAATGCACTGGGAGGGAACTTCTACGCCTGGGTAACGGGTCGAGAGCTAGGACCAACTCGGCGCCAGCGGAGCCCTCGGTGGCATGCACCCGCGAAACGAACTGGCGCGCACATGCACACGCCAGCGCTCTCAAAGTTTACAAAAACAGACGGCAACATATGCTGCAGTAATTTCCAACACGGACCCACTTCCTTACGTTGCCTGGACGAGGCTGAGCACCCAGCGTCTATTGCGCGACCCGCCAGCAAGAAAGATCAGATCTCAGATCTCAAGCACCGAATGCAGATGCTGAGGACTTGTGAATGTTAATGTCCAGAAACTGAGGGTCCCACAAGTGCAAATGATCTCTCGCAAGACGCAGAAGAAGTGAATGCAAGCTGCACGCCCCTCGCTTCAATGCTCTGACACTGCACAACTGCCGCATCATAACCGACTGCCTTCATGTAACGTTTGTACCCGTTGTTCGCACGGAAGATCAGCAGGAATGAAATGGTGGAGCCAAGAATATTCTTCCTTACGGGTAGCAAGTCCATGTGAGCCATTGTCTTCTTGCGTGGGATACTGCCTTGTTCTGCCCAAGTTGTGGCCTTCCTTCAAGCACCTTCACGCTCTGAAGTTTGAACACAACCACCACAGGTAAACTGGAGCTGGGCGGCAGACAACCAATATGCAGCAGAGGTGTAAATAAGTATCAGAATCGCCTTCACCTTTACCTCGAAGCTGCAGCGGCACATCTGTGGCCACGAGAAATCCTGCCTGGCCTCTCCCCAAACCGTTCCGTACCATCGTGCGATCTGCGTGTACCATGACCTCACTCGAGGCAAAGCCCTGGCGAGGGAAACAGCCGCTTCCCGGGCCCCCGAACTGCGTTCGGTAGTAGATCATGCCTCGCTACTCCGCGTATGTTGGGTGCGCCAACTTGACCATACTGGAGGTCTCTCTGAGCCGAGCGAGAAATCCACCGGAGCGGTCATGATTTAGGATTCAACTTTTATTGAACTGCTGGTTCAGACAGCCTCTGAGTTGGCCTCAGACCTCATGCTTCGCAACTCTTTTTTCTGCAACCCTATGTGATCACAAACCTCCGTGTGAGACATCGATACCGGCCAAAGCCGTCCTGTCTCAGCCTTGACCCCAGGAATCCGCGAGCGTGGCACCGCCGGTACAGCACTGCAGGGGTTGCTTCGCTTCATGAACCGCCAAAGACACACCCAAGCCTTTAGAAACTTTAGATTAACAAGAGTTATGCTGCGAAAAAGGTGCACCGAGCACGAAACAACATTGTGCACAATTTGTTCACAGCGCCTCAACACGATGATTGTAGCCACACTCCCACCTCAGATGCTGCTGTGTCAACACGGGTGGTGAAAGAGGGCCTTCCAACCACATTGAGCAAACTGATCTTGCCACGTGGCCGTGTGTTCTGAAAACTGCAGCTTGCAGAGAGGGGACAAGGGCGTAGTCAATTGATCATCAAACTATGAGCCCGCATTTTGAAGCCAGATCATTCCCTTTTCCGTCCGGACAATGCACCGTCATCGATGAATCATACATACATCCATGCGACCTCTGCTTTCGAAGCATTGGCGAAACTTGACATGGTTGGACTTCTTCGAAGGCTATCGGAGATCCGATGTCTTGATTGCTTCTTTGAGTGGGGGAGGACGGCCCAATTCGATCGAAAGCGGGACTGTTCAGCAGACATGTAGCATACGAGCATCAGGGCATGGGTAGGAAAACAACCTCGCTGCGAAATTTTTGACCTCCTTACCATCAAGAACAGAAGCGCGAAGCGACTCCGGCTTCCGGGGGCCGCTGGAATCGCGTTCCTCGCCTCGAGCTGCCATGGACCAAAAACGACGGCCGAGACCACCATCGCTGGTTCGGTCTCGAAAGTTGCTGAGCTTTTGTCCTTGCCGATGCAGGGACTTAGCGGCGTCCTGAGTGAGTTAGGAAGCACTCTCGTCCGTGCACTGCGGTTCGTTTGCAAAGGCCAGGAACCCGGTGGTCATCTTGCTGTGTCGCTGCCGCTTGTACAACTGGTCAAGCGGGGGAGAAGGAAAGAGAATTGAGCCAAACTGGCCACAAATATATGAAGGTGTTTCAAGAACCCGAACTTCGGCATGATTTGAGCCAATCGATCGAAGGATACAAATCGCAATTGTTCTCACTTCGAGCACAATTTCTGTACAAAACCGCGGTTGTGAGGAAATGTTTATTGCATCACGGGAGACTGCAAACAGCGATCCAGTTCATATAAGTACATATAAATTTCTACGCTACCCTCTCAATGCTGCCAAGCAACTGGCAATTGTCCTCAGCGTCTCGCAACTCGATCTCAAACACCGACGAGGCGACAGCTGCAATGAAAGCGACTACGGCCATCCTGCTCGCACCTGAAATGGCAAACCAAGAATCTTCCTGCGCAACAATGTACTTGTACTCGATGACCTTGGCAGGGAAGCAAAAACGAGTAATTTCGAGACGTCCTTTGGATCCCACGTCTTGCAGCAAAGATGCTCCACGCTCCAAAGGAATCTTCAACTCAGCACACTCAAGCCGCAAGACACATGAGTGACAGACGCTTGAGACTCGGAATTTGCAAGAGATGACATATGTGGCCTTTGCTCGCCAAATGTTGCCGTCCGTCCATGCCATGTGGACCTGGAACGGTATACACTAGCTTGTCAACTGACCACTTTTACGGCGAACCTTTCGGGACAAAGTCCAGCTGCCCAACTCTTCACAGGAGCCCACCATATAGAGCTCCTGACCTTGCATGCTTGAATGGGTCAGCCTCGCCTCTGACCCTTTTCATGCGATCTTGTCATATCACGTCACTAAGTCCTCAACCGAAGGAAGTGGCGTATTGAACGCTGAACTCATAGCTATCGCCTGCAGGCACCGGGACATGTGGAACTCGTGCGTCGTGTCCAACCGTACCAGTACCGACCCCGGTCCCCTGTCCCCACCCGCCTCGCCCGGCGGCCACTTTTTGTGCTCGAGCAGCTTCTGCGGCTGCTAGCTCGCGACGTATGCACTCATCCCAGGCAGCTTCCTCAGTGGAAGCTGTGTCCTTGAAGTTCTAATGCAAGCAGGATGCAACACCTTGCTGAATCGGAGTAGAAGCAGCTGCTAGGCTGCTGGAAAGATGCATCATGGGACTGTGCTGAAGTCAAGGAGCATGCAATCGCACTTGCCTGAATCTCATCAAGTACATTCTGCCAGTTCTACGGCCGCCAGCTTCAAGCCACGCCGAGTGCTCTTGGATTCGGACCTATTGGCCGCTGCTTCCCGATATTTCTCTCGGTCAGGACGTCGCCGATCCTTCTGGCCTCATACAGACGCTGGAAGCCATCAGTGCATCCGTCGAAGCAAAAGCACGGCCTTGTTGGCCGGGAGTGGTCTGAAGTTGCCCTGCGCCGGCCATGGCGGCTCAGCGAAAGCCCGGCGTTTGCTGTCTACTTCATGCCTGGTTGCCACAGCTCTCTCGTAAAACGAGCACATGCAACTATTGTGAGCATGAGTCCAAGCATGAGGATGCAAAGGTCTATATGTTATGCGGGCAGCAGCATGATCTGCTACATCACGCGAGTCAGCCTAGAGATGCAAAAGGAAGAGCAATGCCGCGAAGGTCTTCAAGTGAACACCGATAAAGTGGCACATGGGCAAGCAGAGGGAATACGATCTTTCTCAGAGCGGATTCGGGGCATGTGGCTCTCAGTTTCGAGCTCGACCCCTCGCCGCCTTGTGGTCCAGCGGAGCTCAGCTGCTATGTGCTGCTGTCGCATGTCAACTTCTCAGGATCAGACCACCTTTGCTCGCGGGAAACGCTGGTCTCTGTCGGCAGCCTCCTTTTTCACGCGCTCCCTGTCCGTCGCAAACTCGATGACTCCTCTCTTTTCCTGGATTGAAGCAGCCGCACAGTATTCTTGGAGCTCTCTCGGCCGAGCTGTGCAGCCGTCCTCCTCCTGATCTCTTTCCTCATCCTTCTTCTTTTGCCTTGGTCTTTGGATGGGGGCTTGGGACAAAACAAGACTTCAGACCACATCTGGGTTGCGGACCTGTCGTCTTTGACCTCACTTTAACCGCAATGTCCCAGTCCCGTCTACCCCTCTCCTCTCTTTTCGCAGATCCAGAGAAAACAAAGACCGAGCCAATTAAGGCCGCCACAGGTTCGGCGGTGGCGACGCGGCAGTTGGACCGCAGGAAATCCTCGCAAAATCTCGAAACCACGCAAGCCACAGGCACCGTTCCGCAGCTTCGCGCCTTGTCGTGTAGCAACTTGCCCTGATCGCTGAAGTCTTTGTGGGTGGCTTCGCTGGTGATCTTCACGAGCCTTGCACATGCAGCGGAGCAGAGGCGGAGGCGGAGGGGCAAGAAAATTCCGCCGCGTCCTGGCCTGGCATCGGGCATCTCGGCGTGCGCCCGATCCAAGAACTCGTGCACCACCTGCACCTCGCAGCCAAGAGAAGAGAAGGCGAAAGCGGACACTTCGCTAAAGCTTCGCTTAATTTGAATTGTGTCCCTTCGATCTTCTCTAGAAAGGCTCTTGCTAGCTGATTGAAGAAGCGCGGAAGGTCAGACCTTAATCACTTACCCGCACATGTAGCACCGCTGGCTCTCAAGGGAAACGACTTGGGCGACTGCTCAGCCTGCACTGCTTTGATTTCCTGGATGGGTGCCTTCAGTGGTGCTCGGCTCTGACCTGTTCTTGGCTCCATGATCTTGCTGAGCAGATGACCAGCGACTTCGCGAGTCGGTTTGACCAGCCTGACTGGACAGGGCCTCCTTTAAGATCCTGCATGGACTCTGTGCTCTGAGATTCCAGCGCTTGAGGCTGTCGACAAGCAAAGTGCTTTGCTTCAGTTGCTCTTGCACGTCCTGGGCCGAAAGAGCACCAGAGCGAACGAGCAAAACGACAGATTTGATGCGAAAGGCAGAAGGCAGTGATCCAAGGCTGATTCCGAGTGATCTTGCCGGACATCTTCCAACATTTGCTCAAACTCGGTGACTTCAACGCCAAGTCCTGCAAGACTCATGCTGGATGAAGGCACCGGAGTCTGTGGCTTGTCCCTTGCGGCAGCAATCGCCGGGCCGACCTCGAGTCTCGGGCTTGGCATCGACCAAGGCCTTTCAAGTCACACGAAACAGAGAGAGAGACAAAGAGAGCTAGACCTTGAGCTAGAGGAGCTCGAGCTCGAGCTGGAGCTGGAGCCGGTGTTGGAGATGGAGATAGAGACAGAAATAGGGATAGAGATGCGGATAGAGATTGGGATAGGGGTAGAGATAGAGATAGCGATAGGGATGGGGAGCGGGATAGGGATAGGGATAGGGATAGCGAGAGAGGTAGAGGTAGAGGTGGAGGTGGAGCTGGAGGGGGGGAGCGAGAAAAAATTATAAAACAGTTGATACTGGGGGTCTCAGCTCCGCCCTGCCTAGCACCCTTCATCATTATACATGTTTTTGGCATCCGTTATGCTATGTTTCTTTGTCTTAATCTTCTTCATTATGCTCAAGTCCATTTTTGAACATGCTTTACACAAATTACCTTATGAATTTCCACATTAGTGCACCTCTAACATTTTTACACAAATTTTCACAAAATTTTCATAATCTATCAAAAGATATGGTCATCCTACCTCTTGCATTTTCCTGAACATACACTTCTTGCAGTGTCATCTGTGTCGTTTTTTCTTGTCTAGTGTTTTTTCTTGCAGTACTGCTCATATATTCTTAGTTGCTGTCACTGTTTCATTTGTGTTTGTCGCGGTTTAGGTATAATATTATGTACAGGATTCCTGCCGTGGCTTGTCGACATGTCTAATAACATCTTTATATTAGTACCGTTAATTTTGATGAATTTTTAGAATCCAGAACATATATATATATACATATATATATATACACACATGTTTACATATATATATATATATGCTACCCCCCCCCCTCAGTTATCTACCTTTTTCGTGGCTTGCCAGGGCACGCGGGGGAGCATGTTCCCAAAACTCGGGGTCATGTTCACTTTTTGATGCGAACCCATGTTGATCGGATCTGGCAATGTGCTGTGAGGATCGTCTTCATCTTGGCCGTGCGTAATATAGTCCACGTAATGAAACGAAGCTACCCCTAAGGCTTCTACCAGGCTAGCTGCAGGATCGCTTTTCTCCTAATCGATAAGGTTTAGAGTTGAGGGCAGCATGTAAGCTAAGCTGTCAGGTTAAAATCAGGTTTCCGGTTAATGCGTTGGGGCTAGGATGACACTTCATGATATTCCTGCAGTTCAGTCTCAGGGTTGACATTTCGGGCAGATTTCTGGTGAAAGGGGGTATCGAGGGTAAC